AAACAGATTCCTTGTGAGGAATCTGGAGAACAAGGGCCTTAAATGGTAAGCCTTGTGAGCAAATTTGAACTGGGTCTTTAGGGCAAAGAGGTTGAAACAATCATGTCACCAGCCATAAGTCCTGTGATGATCACTTTAGCAGCTATTGGGCATGTGATCAAAAGGCGAGAGACCCAGTTAATTGCAGGAGCTTCTGTGGTGAGGCCAGTGTTCCAGGTCTGGGGAGCTATGATGGTGGCCTGGACAATGGAGGCAGAGGGTGAGCCACATTTCCCACCTTGTCATACTACTAAAATAGAACCAGAACTTACATCATAATACTTAAGGTATTAATTTTTTTCTTTTCTCACAATCCCATCTCTTCCCACACCTACCCTACTTACACTCTTGTATAAGTAGAAATATTTTTTCTTGGATATGTTTACCTCCTATACTGGTTGTTCCCATGCTTCATGTAAGTTCCCAGTCATCACTGTCACTACAGTGTCTCATGACAGGGTCAGCTGCCACATCCTAGTGCCTGGTGCAGTGCCTTGCGCACAGTGGGTCTCTGTCTTTTGTAGAATGGATGTATCAATGAATTAATTCATATATGTAGTGTTGCTGTATCTTAGCTTAAGAACTCAGAACATTTTTATTTTTGTCATCAAATATAATATTATTTTATCAAATAAAATAATATCCTGAATTTGATGAATAATGACTATGGATCCTCAATGTAGTGTGACATGTCTGAAAATTATAGAAAGATAATTAGTACATAAAACAACAACTTTTATGATCAGTTATCAATCAGTCTTTATAATCATTTTTACAAGCTAAAGATTCAAATAGCCACTTTTATTTTTAACCTCTTGCCCAGTTTTTTGGGGAAAAAATCTGTATTTTTGAAAATCTTTCTTTAAGCAAACAGAATATACCCCCTCCCTCCAATTCCATCTAAGTCTACTACTACTTCTCATATCATTCCAGCACCCTCCATTATCAACTGCTTTGAAAAACACAGAACCACATTTTAATTTATTTTTATTATTTGTTTGTTTGGGGCTTGGGCGCTGCACTTGATGGTGCTCTGGACTCACTTTTGTACTCAGCTGTCACTCCTGGCAGTTAAGGAGTACCTTATTAGTTAAGACAAGTGCCTTATCCACTGCACTCTGGCACAAAAGCCACTGTTACTGTTTTTGCTTTTTTAAATTTTAGTAAATTTATAGTACCATGGTTTATAATACTGCTAGTGGTAGGGTTTCATGCATGAAACACTCCAGCACCACACTCTCCAGCATAATGTCCACTTTTCCTCCACCACTGTCCGGTGTCCTGTCCTGCCCCCATGGTAAGCTTCTTACTGAAGGCCAGCTCTCAGTATCTTTGCCTTTGGTCATTTGTTATTCATCTACTAAGTTTCTTTATATCTCACCTATGAGAGAGATCATTCTGTGTTTGTGCCTTTCCTCTCATTGACTACACCCAGTGTGATACTCCCCAGATCTATATATGCAGCAGTACATTGCATGATTTTATTTATTTTGTTATAGTTGAGTAGTACTCTTACTCCATTGTGCATATGTACCACAGTTTCTTTATCCATTCATCTGTTCTTGGACATGTGGGTTGTTTCCAGATTTTGGTTATTGTGATTAGTGCTGCAAAGAAGATACATAAAAATATCTTAGTTCATTTAGTCACCATGAAATGACAAAGTTATTCATGATTGGGTTTCAAGCATACAGTGTTTCAACACTTTTTCCCTCACCAGTGCCCACTTCCCTCTACCAAAGCTCCATCCCCAATCACCAACAAGTTGCCACTCATCTACCAATATGCTTCTAGCAGAGGCAAGGTGCTTCTTTTTCCTTCTCATAAGTTTTACACTGTTGCTCAAGTGTTTCACACAGAACATTTGATCACCTTTCAGCACCATCTCCTCTTCCCGGTTTAACACTTCCCTCCACCATAATTGCCCTTGGCCTTCTCCATTGGGGAGGTACATTTTTAAACAAATACTTCACGATAGTAAAATCAGTTCCCCTACAACTTTTTTTTTTTAAACAAAACCAAGTTGCTCAGTTTAAAAAGCGTGAAAACTTGACCCTGTTCTCTCTGCCACCCTTTCTTGTGCCATCCACCTGAAAAGGCCTTCACCTTTGTTGAGTTCTATCTTTTTTTCATTTTTAGAAAATTGAGACAGCATTTGTTTACATGACTTCATATGCTACAGTTACAGTTTCATGCTAGCTCAAGTATCTTACCACAACCATAACCAACTTTCTTATGCCACCACTGCAGACCTCGGGGCCCTCCAACCCCTTTGGCAACACCAGTTGTGCTCAAAGTTGGTTGTGTCTGTCCCTGACGTGGCTTTTTGCTCCCCACTTATGAATGAAATATCTTATACTTGTCTTTTTGTGACTTATTTCACTGAGCACAATGACCCCCTCCAGTTCATCCTTGCTGTCAGAGGCAAGATTTCATTTTTTCTTACCAGGCCCATCTTGTACCTCCCACCCCACGGCATTGTGCCATGCCGGGAGAAGGTGGTGTATCTGGCAATACTGTTCTATGGTGCTTCTCTTCAGCATGAAAATCCTTGACCGTCCCATGAGTTTCATTATTTTTCTGGGTTGCTATAGACTCTAGAAATTTGCCTCAGCTGTGGCCTTGTTAGACCTCTCATGTGGGGGAGGAAATTTGCCTGGTGAAATCAGGACCAGAACCTAGGTCTTTACCTATGGCCATATGCTCCCTCTTCTTCCCCTTTTTAACCCATCACACCTAGACAACACAGTTAGTCCCAGAGTTCACCTTTACAGTTGCTGGAGAACCTACTAGTGCTGGTTGGTCCTTTAGTTGACTTGTATGCTTCATCAAACCCATGTGATAATGTCTGGGGAAGGATGTGACAGCTGCTGCTCTCCTCTTCCCCACAGGCTGCTGCCTACTCTGTGTTTGCAAGAGTCCATCAGTTCTTCCAAAGTGGCAATGAACTACATGCCATACCCAGAGCACATTTTCTTTTTTTAAAAAAATCTTTATTAGAGTCATGATTTACGAAGTTACTGATAGTTTCATGTTAAGCATACAGTAATCCAACACCAATCTCTCTACCAGTGTCAACTTCCCTCTGCCATTGTTCCCAAATTCTCTTTCCATCCCAACTCCCACTTCACCCCCACCCGTCAACTGGAAAAGCACATTACGAAGTTTCAGTGGTTTCTGCTTCGATTTCATGTTTGCAGTTCTGTTGGATCTGTGTTTTGGATATATGGCTATACCCCTCACTCATATCACTGTTATAACTGAAGTCCTGAAGACTGTTAGATTATTACTTCTTGTTTTCTTCTTTACCCCTCGATTTACTTTGTTCTCTATCTATCTCCTCTCTAAACACGGGGGTCAAGGATGATCTGAGCATCCCCCATTTACTACAACACATTTCCTCTTCCAGGAGTCTATATTCCACAGATAAGTGAGATCATCTGTGTTTGTCTGCCTTCTCCTGGCTTACTTCACTCAATATAGTTTTCAGTTTCAACCATGTTGCAGCAAATTGAATGATTTCATTGTTTCTTTTAGCTGCACAGTATTCCATTGTATATAGATATACCACATCTTAATAATCCATTCATCTGTCATTGGGCATTTAGGTTGATTCCATATCTTAGCTATTGTACTGAGTGCAGCAATGAATAACGCTGTGCATATGTCCTTTTGAGAGAGTTATTTAATGTTCTGGAGATAGATGCCCAAAATTTCTGGGTGTTCAATTCAATTCAAATTTTACTGAGAACTCTCCATACTGTTTTCAACAGAGGTTGTACAGACATTTCCACCAGAAGTAGATAAGAGTTCATTTTTTACCACATCCCTGCCAACACAGATTATTCCTCCTATTTTTCGTATGTGTCATTCTCACTGGTGTGAGATGGTATCTCATTGTCTGGATTTGGATTTCTCTGATGACAAGTGATGCTGAGCATTTTTTCATATGCCTACTGGCTATCCACCTGTATTTCTCTGAGAAATGTCTGTTCATTTCCTCTCCCCATTTGTTGATAGGATTTTTAAGTTTTTTTTATTGATCTTTGTGAGTACTTTATATATCCTGAATATCAAACCTTTATCTGATGTATTGAATGCAAATAATTTTACCATTCAGTTAGCTGAATTTTAGTTCTATCCCTTGTATTTTTTTTATCTGCCATGCAGAAGCTCTTTTAATTTTATATAGTTACATTTGCTTATTTTTGATTTTGTTAACTTTGCCAGTGGATTCATATCATTGAAGGCACATTTGAGGTTCAAAATTGGATAACTACACATAAGGAAATAATTCTGGATCCGTATCTTACACCTCACACAAAAGGCAATTGAAAGTGGACCAAAGACCTTGGGAATTGACCAGAAACTATAAAGTACATTGAGGAAAATTAAGGCAGAACACTTCAATATTTGAACCTCAACGATGCTTTTTTTTTTTTTTTTTTTGCTTTTTGGTCACACCAGGCGATGCACAGGGTTTACTCCTGGCTCATATATACTCAGGAATTACTACCAGCAGTGCTTGGGGGACCATATGGGATGCTGGGAATCAAACCCAGGTCGGCCTCATGCAAGGCAAACACCTTACCCACTGTGCTATTACTCCAGCCTCCTCAACTGTGCTTTCAATAGTCTGATACCTCTGGCAAACCCACAGCACATTTTCTTAGCTCAGCTCTCACTCTCTAGAGGAGTCACAATTTAGAGTCACACCTTGAGTTAAATCCCAACAGTTTTAATAATGGAACAACAGAATCATGCACAAGTATTATCCAGCACCTACCACAACTTTAAATATGGGATGGCTTTTCTCAAGCCCAGTGACCACCTCATTTTGCTGACTGTTTCCTGTTCAGCAGCAGGAATGCAGATACACAAGAATGTTATGCTTTGGGGTAGGTTTTTACCTTTTTCTCAGCAGTCTCATGATTCAGCATCTGTATTTTCCCTCCCACTAGGATTCTCTGCTGAGGGTCTCTTTCTCAATCCTCCTGTGTGTGGCCTAACAGAAGTCAGAGGTGATGAAGTCGATCCTAGATGGCCTTGCAGACACCACCTTCCGCACCATCACCACAGACCTCCTCTACGTGGGCTCGAATGACATTCAGTACGAAGACATCAAAGGCGACATGGCTTCCAAATTAGGGTATTTCCCACAGAAATTCCCCCTGACTTCTTTTCGGGGCAGTCCCTTCCAAGAGAAGATGACAGCAGGAGACACCCCACAGCTGGGCCCCGGGGCTGACCAGGGGAATATCACTGAGTTCCTCAATAAATCTCTGTCATCCTTCAAGGAAAACGAGGAGAACATTCAGTGTGGGGAGAACTTCATGGACATGGAGTGCTTCATGATCCTCAACCCCAGTCAGCAGCTGGCCATCGCTGTGCTGTCCCTCACTCTGGGCACCTTCACGGTGCTGGAGAACCTGCTGGTGCTGTGTGTGATCCTGCACTCACGCAGTCTCCGCTGCAGGCCGTCCTACCACTTCATTGGCAGCTTGGCCGTGGCAGACCTCCTGGGAAGTGTCATCTTTGTCTACAGCTTCGTTGACTTCCACGTGTTCCACCGCAAAGATAGCCCCAACGTGTTCCTCTTCAAACTGGGTGGGGTCACAGCCTCCTTCACAGCGTCAGTGGGGAGCCTGTTCCTCACGGCCATTGACAGGTACATATCGATTCACCGGCCTCTGGCCTATAAGAGGATCGTCACCAGACCCAAGGCTGTGGTGGCCTTCTGCCTGATGTGGACCATCGCTATTGTGATTGCTGTCCTGCCGCTCCTGGGCTGGAACTGCAAGAAACTGCAATCTGTTTGCTCAGATATCTTCCCACTAATCGACGAGACCTACCTGATGTTCTGGATCGGTGTTACCAGCGTGCTGCTGCTGTTCATTGTGTATGCATACATGTACATCCTCTGGAAGGCTCACAGCCACGCGGTCCGCATGATCCAGCGAGGCACCCAGAAAAGCATCATCATCCACACATCAGAGGATGGCAAGGTCCAGGTGACCCGGCCAGACCAAGCCCGCATGGACATCAGACTGGCTAAGACTCTGGTCCTGATTCTGGTGGTTTTAATCATCTGCTGGGGCCCTCTCCTTGCGATTATGGTGTATGATGTCTTTGGGAAGATGAACAAGCTCATTAAGACGGTGTTCGCCTTCTGCAGTATGCTCTGCCTGCTGAATTCTACCGTGAACCCCATCATCTATGCTCTGAGGAGCAAGGACCTGAGACATGCCTTTCGGAGTATGTTCCCCTCATGTGAAGGCACAGCTCAGCCTCTTGATAACAGCATGGGGGACTCAGACTGCCTGCACAAGCATGCTAATAATGCAGCCAGTGTTCATAGGGCTGCAGAGAGCTGCATCAAGAGCACAGTGAAGATCGCCAAGGTGACCATGTCTGTATCCACAGACACGTCTGCCGAGGCTCTGTGAGCCTGAAGCCTCCCTGGCCGCACAGGAAAAAGAAATTTTCTTTTTTCTTTTTCCACTTCTGCTTCCCCCTCCTCCTGCTCCTGCTCCTCCTCCTGCTCCTCCTCCTGCTCCTCCTGCTCCTCCTCCTCCTGCTCCTGCTCCTCCTCCTCCTCCTCCTCCTCCTCCTCTTCCTCCTCCTCTTCTTCTTCTTCTTCTTCTTCTTCTTCTTCTTCTTCTTCTTCTTCTTCTTCTTCTTCTTCTTCTTCTTCCTCTTTTTTTTAATTTTTAACAAGCTCATAATCTAGGAGAGTTTCCTGTCTCATCAGTTATATTTTTTTAGGTTACCATGCTCAGTGGAAAGATGATTGTCACCGCAATCAATTATAAGTTCTCTAACATTTTATTAGTATAGGTACTTAAACTCAGTTTTCCAGGGGTTTTAATGGAGAGTGTGATTTTAGTGTCTGAAAACACCCTTTAATGAAGTTTTAATGAAGAAGGAGTGAAACCTTTGGCCATTACAGTTTGAAATCCAAGTACTAATAGAAAAATGACATCAAATAAGTACTGCCTTTGTCACCACAACTTTCATGATAATGTATACCGCTTTTGTCCATAAGTATCAGAGACGTCCGTTTAAAAAGCAGTTACAGTACTTAAAGTAGAGCTATTTTGTAAAATGTATTGTGTCCTGTGAGATCTGTATCAGTGTTTATGACGTGTTATTTACAATCATCTAGTTCAGAAAAACTGAAGGGTAAACTTATGAAAACAATGAGACATAAACAGAGAACTATGTCATTGCAATCACCTTTTCAAAAAGAATTAATTATGATATAACTTTAAAGACATTAATATTTTTTATTATATCTATCTAAAACCAACATTGAAATAATCATAAAGGTTTATTTTTCTGTTACGCAACAGGAAGAATTTGAAGATTATTCAGCATATTCAGCAGAGTTATTGAGCAGAATTCATTGACACTTAAAAATGCATTATCCCTGCACTCTCATGGACCTTGGTTATCTTCTGAACTGTTGCTATTCTGTTGAGTGATGGATTCCAATCAGAATGGAAGAACAAAGGCATACTGACATTTTTTGACTGACATCTGTGACTTTCTCTAGTCTTTAGCTACTACTGAACCTCTTAAGACAGCATGTGTCAATCTTAATGTATATTGTTATCACTGTGCAATTGTTGTTTACTTGAAGAGTATTGCATTTCTATATTCCAGGTTTAAGTAGATTTCAATCCTGGGTAGCCAAACAAGAGTCTCCTTTTCCCCCTTAATTTAAAAGAAGTATTGTCTGAATCAGTAAAATTATACTGTGCGTGAGTGTGAAAATAAATGTGTGTATGTGTATGTGTGTTCTTATCCTGTAATTGTTGCAGTAATGTCATAAAGTGAGAAAACTGTGACCAAGTATAAACTGTACCATTTGCTGCACTCTTGCACATGAATTCAGTTTCTAAAATTGAGTTCTTCCAGAAATCTTGCTGATAAGAATAATGGCCACAAACTTGCAGAAAATACCTCCTCCTCCCAATGAGAGATTGGGTCAGGTATTATTAAATTGTCCTTTAAGTATTCCATGCGACCAGTGTTTACCGAGGGACAATCAATGACCATCATAGAAGCAAAGGTTTGTATTTACGTAGTTAATGTTGGAGTATGAGAGCATTTTGGTTTCTGGGCACCCAGCATGGATCAAGTCCATGGAGATATAAGTCATTACAAGAGAAGTGACTCTGAAAAAAAAAAAGAGCAGCATTTTTGCTATCATGTGGGCAGGCTGTGTGATCCCAGTTTAGATGGCAGTATGTGCCACTTGCTGCCAAGTAAGTCTAGGTTGGCCTATGTGGCCAAGGAAGTAGGTTGGACCATGGGTAAGAAAGAAAAGGGCAGTAAGGCGCTTACATGCATGATCAAGACTTGGATGCCATATGGCTGCTTCCCTGCTTCACTCAGATGCTCTTAGTGACAACTCATCATCTGGCTTTGTAGATAGGATTGGGTTAAAAGGCCTCTCTCTCCTTTGTTCCTGGTTAGCAAAATCTAATGCATAAAGATGAACACAGCTTGCTTGCCTCTTTTACCCCAGTCTCATACTCCTTTATGCTGCCATGGGGTGTACAAATTTAGGCACTGTCCCAATAGGTCTTGAGGTCACTGAGAAGCTACTTGATTCTGACATTTTATTGACCATTTTCTATACAAAAATCATGACTCCCATAGAAACAGGGACTGGGCATAGTATGGAGATCTAGCATTTCTCTGATGATTTCTAGCCTGCTTAATACCTGAGCAGTCTGATGACGCAGCGTATGTCCCTTCCTGCTGGCCCTTCATGGTCTAAAGGTAATTGCGGGCTGTGATCCAAGCTGTGATGCTTCTCATGGTCTCTCCAGCTCAAGTCCATCTACTGGTTTCTTTATTTTACCTCTCTGTAGACGAAGGCTTAGGGTGCTAGAAGATTACTAATATCTCCTTAGAAGAAGGAGAAAAAGATTATGAAAAAAACTCACCAGGCTGTAGTTACTATTTAAGAATTGCCAAATCTTTTGTCCCACATGATCCTGCATGTTTTAGAGCCCACCAGGCTGTACCAACTCCGCCTCACAGCTATGAAGACCTGGTGAAGCTGAAATTCTTTTCATTGGTAGATCAACTCCAGGATTCATTTTTGAAGCTGTATTTATGCATATGCAATGTTGATCTTACAGTGTGTTGTGCTTTCAAGATCTAAATTACATATAATAAATTAAGGGACAATGGGGCTGACAGCACTAAACTTGGTGCTTATTGATATTCTGAGAAATATCTGTGAAATTTCATCAAGTATGTGTTATATCACCTTTATTTTAAAATGTTTCTATTACTTTGATTCACTTTGACACCTTTAATATCATTTCTTAACCCAAGTGACTCAAATGTTCTCCCCAATTAATATACTCATTAGAATTATCTTAATTAAAATCATTCATTAATTAGTCCCTTAATTAGACTCATTAATTTAAATATAATTTAGAGTTCGGTACATTTTGTAAGGTCTGACTTCAGAGTTTTCTACTTCCCTCTAAGGGTAACATATTGTCCTGATCTGCATTTCACCATCATGTAAATCTGTAGAAAGGGCCAAATCCTCAACTGCTTAATATCTCCACTTTTTGGTTCTGAATAATTACATTTATACAAGGAGGACTGTCTCTAAGAACCTCTGATTTTTCTTTACATGTATGTAAAAGAAATATATGTAAAAGAAGCATAATATGGGGTAGCTACATAGTATGTCTACACTGGAGATTATTCCCTAGCCTCCCCATCCCTTTGAGTCTGGGTTGTTTGGCATTAACCATCAAGGAATTTTGAAGTCGATACCCATAGCACAGAAAATTGGCCCAACCCCAGCAGAGAATTGGGCCCTGGTGGAGGAGTATTCTAGCCACTGTTATTTTAATTAATTTTTATCATTCTATGTCTGTGAAAGACACCACCAACATCATGCGCAAAATTAGATTTCTCACAATCTAACTGTATATTTGTATGATATTTTAAAATCTAAATGCTAGGCAATGTCTGTTAACAATTGTCTTGCACTGGCCTTCTGATGAAATGTAACAATGCCTACTGTAATATAGACATGACATTTTATCTACTGATTTGGGCTGAATGTATGTAAATAGGTTTTTAAAAAGTCAGATGTTTGGGCAGTGGCTTACAAATCAGTAATTGTCAGATAGGAGAATTTCTTTACATTGCTGTGGCATCCGAAAAACTATCTTCACATAAACTTAGTATACTAGGCTTGTCGGGGGTCAGAGTCCCCAAGAAAGAAATCTTTTTCTTGTGATAGTGTGAATCAAGATACCAGGTTATCTGGATTCTTATTTCCAATGTTTCAAGTGGAAAATGTAACTCTTTACTGTCTATAAATCTAAGATAATTACCTTTTCTCTTAGAAGAATATTGTATTGTTAGATGTTTGTTGAGCTGGTAACATCCTTGCAATTGCTGCACTATCTTCGTTAGTAATCTGTATAATACTTTGTACACAAGTACTGGTAAGATTGTTATTCAATGTAGCCTCAGTTACTATATTACTATAGCAAAGTAGTACTTCTGTAATATTTACAATGTTATTAAGCCCATACTATATTTTATTTCAGTGATGTAACTAAATTGTTATTTATTCAAAGAGAAAACATCCCATCATGTTTATTGTCCAAAGTTACCTGGAATCAAATAAAAATTCTAGATTATCAGGAAGAACATAATATGCTTTTGAATTCTGCCTTATTTCACAGTCTGATGTTTAAAAGCTCTGGATTTAAATTCTAAAGGGTTGCTGAACACTGATTTGTTTCCTAAAAGCCCTTTTCACTTTGAGAAATGAGACATATTAGATTAATATCTTTGTTTTAGACCTAGAAAAAATGTGCAAAAGTCATTTCTTACACAATGAAATGCAAAATTCTGCAACACCTTTTAAAACCATTATTTCATTAAAAGAGTTGAATGATTTTGCAATAAATTGAAACAGACTATTCAAAATGTATAAGTTAAATGAGAATTTTGAAGATTTAATAAATATATAACTGTATTAAAAAGCTAAAATGACCTTTCCCATCCTCCAGAGGCCACTGGACAGTCAGGTTTGGGCTCAAAGTGACGAGACACGTGGGACCTCATGGGATGGGGGTGGAGCTGGCCCTTTCCTCCCCAACCCAAAGAGACCCCAAGTCACCGCCCACGAACAGCCTCTCTGGCTCCTGATCAAGCTGCTTCACGGCCATGATCCCAGAGACTCAGGAACAAATCTCGAAACCCAGCAGGTTTTGGCAGAAATCCCTCCATATTTAAGTGTTAAAAATTTGGAATTTAAAAACCATGCGGCCACTACTGCAGCCACACAACATCATATGTTATTTTTAACCAGCAATAGAAAACAAATGGTCTACTGTTGCCTTTTCAGCAGATCTGAGTGTTGGGGTAAAATTCCAAATAATAATGGTGGGTCTGGTGTCAAAATATTGAATGTAATCAAAGTAGAGAGAGAGAGA